TGTTGAATACATCCTTCTCAATATACACAATCAAGCTATCATTTAACTATTTATCATTCATTCGATTGCACAATCGATTATTGACATAATTCATTATAGAAAATATCCTCTCTACCGTAGCAATAGCAACTGAAAGAATTAATGTCAATATCAAAAGCTTGTATACTAATGTGTATACTTCATTTTTTTTTTTTTGTCACAACCAACTTTTGTGAAGAGGAAACGGGAGTCGGGATTTGAATTGGTAGGATTTAAATTTTTTATTCATTTGAGGACAAAACGGTAAATACAAAAATAAAATTTTAAAATTAAAAACAATTGTCAAAAAATTGGGGGGTCCGGGTCCCCCAAGACCCCCTTCCTCCGCCCCTATGCACAGGTGAACTCGTGTGAGGTTGGTATGAGCAGAGGATAATCATATTCAAAGTGGACAAGAATTTTTATTCAAAAAGATTTTTGGGTTTTACTTGAGTGACAGCTATCACTTCAAGGCGCACATGTGGCGCCTCCTATTGACGGCAGCAAAACCCAAGATTTTTTATAGGAATGTTATGATTAAGAACTTGTGTGGTAGAGATTAAAATCGGATTAAAATTTAAAAAGTAGTCATTATTGTTAACTTTTATTAGACGAGTGAGACGTAATAACGGCTATATTTTCAATTTTAATTCCTCCCAAACAAGCTCTAAGATTGAGAGTCGTCATTTTTGTTTATTATTTTTATTTGTTTATTTTACTCTAAATCTATTCATATTAATTTTTTTTAAAAAAATAATAGATTCATCCAATTTGTATTTCTACATTACCCTTATTAAATTCATTCATTTAAACAATATATGTCCACACCACTTCCATATATTTCTCCCTCTAAAGTCTACTCATATTACAATTTTTATTGTGAATAATATGGTTATTAGTAAATGATAATTATACCCTTTCAGGTCTAATTTTATTACCATTGCATCTCTAATTCTTCTTTATAAATATGAAATTTTGGTTCTCAATATAATACACAAAGTATATTAACTTCTATTTTTTTTTCTCGTTTTTTATTTATTTTATAATACGTTATGAATACGAAAATTTAATTTTTCAAAGTTTAGTGAACCTATGACACATAAATCTGTTTAGTGATCACGGGGCCGCGCGATGTCATTGGCAATTAATTCTGAGAAGTTGTAAGTTTCAAGGATGAAGAAGCACAATTATATTCATGGCGGCTAATGATTACATTAGCACAACTTTTTTTAATGCGACTTTCCACTGTAATCAATTAGGATGCATGATTTCTTTTCATGCTGCAATTTAGAGTATAACATGATTTTTTTCAAGCTGCAATTAATATATGACCACTTCATGCGCATATTGAAAACACAATATGCATTCTTTCTCTATATTTTAGTGAATTCTCATTTCCTCTACAAATTATCTTTTGTTCTTCTACGTTTGCGATATTTACTTCATATTATGCCATATATTTATCCTCAATATTCACAATAGTTTGTTCGACTTTAGTTGAAAAAGATATTTTATTAATATTAGAATTTTAGTTGAACGCAAAGAAAATAATATAAAAGGTCTAAAAGCATTTAATATGATAAATATTAGTGGATGAACTTAGAGTGATATATTTCATTTGGTTTTATTCATGTCTATTTAAGTAAATTTAAGATTAAAAATGTAATATAATTTTTTGAAAGTTGATAGATATACAAGAACGATGAATAAAAATAGTGGCTATATTTTTGTTCTATGACAAAAAATTCCATTTAACGGCGAGCCCCAACCTCAAATGGGGAGATTACTCGCCCAATCAGGTAAGCGGGACGGGACGGAGTGTAAGTTGTTGCCATGAAGCGGGTACGAGATGAGGACAGAAAAAATGATCCTTGTCCTATTATCCGCTTCGTTTAAAATTAATTTCAAACTTAAGTTTTTTATTAAATAAAAAAAAAGATTTATCATCATTTTTAAAGAGAACGTGAGTTATTCTTAACAAATT